GTCCTTAGTGATATATATATATATATATTTGAAGTATTTTCTATACTCTCCTCTTTTGTCTTTTGTTTTGTTTCTTCTCCCTTTATTTATTTATTTATTTTTTTTGGCAGTTCCTTTAGCTTTATTCTTGTAAATGTAATTTGTTTTATGATATAATATGATTAGGGTTGTCAAAACAGGTTGATGTTCGTGAACAACTCGTGTTAAGCTCATTTAGTAGCTCGTGTTCGATTTGTTTGCTAACCAAATGAGCCGAACACAAACAATTTTTTTTTGCACTCGATATATAAAAGAGTCGAATATCAACAAAGTTTAATGAGTACTGTTTTAAATAATTTAATTGGCTACAATGTTAAAAAAAGTTATAATAAATTAAAATAAATAATTAAAAATATACATTAAATTCTATTTAAATGAATATTTTAATATAAATAATAATATTTAATCTCGTCCTACTCTTAATATTCTACATATTGTCAAAAATTGCTCATTATTCATGAATAGCTCGTTTTCAGCTCGATAAGCGAGCGAGCCAAACACAAATAAATTTATAGATAAACGAACTGAACACAAATAATGATATTTTTTAATAAGTCGAGTTTTGACTAGCTCAAGCACGACTCGTTTACATCTCTAAAGATTACATGCATCATTAAAATTGTTAAAATAATTTTTTATTCACAAAAATTTATATTGGCCCATAAATGGATAGCCATATCCACACGGGGCCCCTACTTTCCCGGAGGCTCAAGTGGCTTCCGGAAACAGAAGGAAGGGATAAATGAAGAACCCATGAATGGAACTAGGAAGGGCATTCTGCAGCGTTGATTTTTGCGTTCTGCACAGAGTAGGGCTATGAAATCTGTGCTGGACGTGCTACCCCGTCTTTACCGATCGCCGACGGCGGCGTCGGCGGGGCGGCGGCGGTAGCAGCTCGGAGAAGCTCCCGGGGATTCAGCGACAAGGGCCGAGTTCTTAGTGAGGAGGAGATGGCCGCTGAAACGATCTACATTCAGGTAGTAATCCAATATCTAATCGCTGATCATCTCAGCGCTTCGGATCTGACTTTTTTTCATCGTTTCATCTTCTTTGCTAGAAAATGGAGAAGGAGAAGTTGGAGAAGATGAAGAGGAAGGCGGAGAAGGAGAAAGCTGAAGCAGAGAAGAAGAAAGCGGAAGCGGCGGAAAAGGTTTTTTTTCTTTTTTTTTTTTTGTGTTCTTTCATCATTTATAGATTACGAACAGGTCTCCTTTCTTCTAATTCGATTGAAAAGGTGATTGAAAAGGGTTAGGGGAATTAGGGATTTGAGATTTTTTTACTATCATTTGTTTTGAAATTTATTTGTTCTTTAATCTGATTTTAAGCTTGAATAGGGCGAGCAATTGTGAGGATTCAACTATCTCTTGTGTATGATCAGATTGTGGCAGCACGGATCTGGATGGAAGCTGAGCAACTTGACAAATGAAGTGGGTCACCAGTTAAGATGTTATAGAATGAAATGTAGTGCGTAGCAAGCTTGCCGCCTTTAGTGAGTAATTGCTTATCAGCCTAATCAACTGTACTGTATAAATGACCACGATGACCATACATTCCTTTGCATAGGAAAGGGCCTAAAAGGTAATTATTTAACGAAGGTGTCCCTTATACCTATAAATAGGAGGTCATTTTGTGGGAGAAGATTCTAGACACTCATTTTTACTGTTTACTCTCTCCTCTTCCACTTGTTTTACGTGCTCTATTTCTTGGATGTGATTCCTGAACAATTTTGGGTTCAACACCCTAAAAGGTGCAATGAGTTTGGAATCATATCACCAACAAGAAGAGTTAGAATCATATCACCAACAAGAAGAGTTGGAATCATATCACCAACAAGAAGAGGAGTATAGCATAGCGGCAAAGCAACAGTCCAAGAACCACAAAACCAAGCCACGGAGGTGGATAGCATGAGGGAGATAATCCAGTAGTAAGAAATGGAGATGAAAGAAGAGCTGATGCGGGAGATGAGAGAACAGATGGTGGGTCCTTTCCAAGAAGCCCTAACCAAAGGAGGCCAGAAGCCACAAAGCCAAAATCCTTATGAGTATATTCGCCAAGAGCCCGACCACAGGGATAGACCTACGGCTAACAACAGACGTGATGGACCGATCCCCAACAGCCGAAAGTCTGAGCCAGTAGAAGACGAGGATGACGACTCTCATTATCAAGGTAGCGCTGAACCAGCCTCGGTCGAGAAACACCGCACCACGCCGACCACAGCTCTCCATCATGTGAAAAATGGACTTTCTTGACAAATCTCTGAAAAAGAACTACCCGAAAAGTTTAAGATCCCTAACTTCGACTCATACAAAGGCCTCGTCGACCTAGCCGACCATGTGGCTGCTTTCGAGTTGGCCATCATTATATTCAAATTCAAAATCACCGACGAGTTCAATTGTCATATATTTCTCGCCATGCGGAGAGATTCGTCCCTCTATTTGTTCAACGCTCTCCCGAAGAGAGTCATCCCCTTCTTTTGTGAGTTTAAAATGCTATTTATAGCCCATTTTGTTAGTGCACAAAAACCAAGGAAAAATTTTAGACTTTCTTGCAAGTTAAGCAAAAGAGGGAGAGACCCTCCATTCGTGTTTAGTGAGATTCCAGTGGGAAATGATGGAGATCCAGATGCTCGAACCTCTGATTGCTCAAACTGCCTCGATACAGGGAGTTAAGAGCGAACATTTCAAATATGTCCTAGGCTTATGCAAGCTGAATTCGATGGCTGAATTCTTGGAGATGACAAGCCATCATATTACTGTTGAAGAATTAGTCCTTAGTGATCAGGAAGAGGCCAGGAAAGCCGTTGTTGATGCCCAATCACAAAAGTGGGCAGCGGTAGATAACAGTTGACGGGCGAAGGATGACCCTCTTCCCCGTATTCACCCGCTCTACCAAAACAGCCCGCATAACAAAGAAAGCCTAAAAGTTGACCATCGAGACAAGTGTCCTCGGTACCCTAATCGGTGTCCGACCCAATATAACGAGCAACTGGTGATTCAGTCGGAGCAACTCAAAATGAACCCCCTAAGGGTCTTGATGGCCGAGCTGGTGGAGGTCATTCAAGATAATGATTACTTCAAGAAAGCTCAATCTATGAGAATCGGGGGCTCTGCCCAGAACCCAAATAAATTATGTGTCTACCATCGAGACCACGAACATGACACGGAGGAATGTCGACACTTTAGATGCCTCGTCAAGGATTTGATCAAGTTTGAAAGATTGAAAAATTTCTTGGCTGACGAGGCGGTCACACACAAACAAGGAAAGCCCCAACTGGCAGAGTGACGATGAACCAGTTTGTGCCGACACTATCTGCATCGAAATACTCGAGATACTAGGAGGGGTGGAGAGTCTTCCCGACTATCAAGCTTGAAAAGGGACCGGTCGAGAGATCCATGTTCCACTGCTCTCATCCCACAGAGAACCATGCGATCAGGAAGAGGCCAGGAAAGCCGTTGTTGATGCCCAATCACAAAAGTGGGCAGCGGTAGATAACAGTTGACGGGCGAAGGATGACCCTCTTCCCCGTATTCACCCGCTCTACCAAAACAGCCCGCATAACAAAGAAAGCCTAAAAGTTGACCATCGAGACAAGTGTCCTCGGTACCCTAATCGGTGTCCGACCCAATATAACGAGCAACTGGTGATTCAGTCGGAGCAACTCAAAATGAACCCCCTAAGGGTCTTGATGGCCGAGCTGGTGGAGGTCATTCAAGATAATGATTACTTCAAGAAAGCTCAATCTATGAGAATCGGGGGCTCTGCCCAGAACCCAAATAAATTATGTGTCTACCATCGAGACCACGAACATGACACGGAGGAATGTCGACACTTTAGATGCCTCGTCAAGGATTTGATCAAGTTTGAAAGATTGAAAAATTTCTTGGCTGACGAGGCGGTCACACACAAACAAGGAAAGCCCCAACTGGCAGAGTGACGATGAACCAGTTTGTGCCGACACTATCTGCATCGAAATACTCGAGATACTAGGAGGGGTGGAGAGTCTTCCCGACTATCAAGCTTGAAAAGGGACCGGTCGAGAGATCCATGTTCCACTGCTCTCATCCCACAGAGAACCATGCGATCAGGAAGAGGCCAGGAAAGCCGTTGTTGATGCCCAATCACAAAAGTGGGCAGCGGTAGATAACAGTTGACGGGCGAAGGATGACCCTCTTCCCCGTATTCACCCGCTCTACCAAAACAGCCCGCATAACAAAGAAAGCCTAAAAGTTGACCATCGAGACAAGTGTCCTCGGTACCCTAATCGGTGTCCGACCCAATATAACGAGCAACTGGTGATTCAGTCGGAGCAACTCAAAATGAACCCCCTAAGGGTCTTGATGGCCGAGCTGGTGGAGGTCATTCAAGATAATGATTACTTCAAGAAAGCTCAATCTATGAGAATCGGGGGCTCTGCCCAGAACCCAAATAAATTATGTGTCTACCATCGAGACCACGAACATGACACGGAGGAATGTCGACACTTTAGATGCCTCGTCAAGGATTTGATCAAGTTTGAAAGATTGAAAAATTTCTTGGCTGACGAGGCGGTCACACACAAACAAGGAAAGCCCCAACTGGCAGAGTGACGATGAACCAGTTTGTGCCGACACTATCTGCATCGAAATACTCGAGATACTAGGAGGGGTGGAGAGTCTTCCCGACTATCAAGCTTGAAAAGGGACCGGTCGAGAGATCCATGTTCCACTGCTCTCATCCCACAGAGAACCATGCGATCAGGAAGAGGCCAGGAAAGCCGTTGTTGATGCCCAATCACAAAAGTGGGCAGCGGTAGATAACAGTTGACGGGCGAAGGATGACCCTCTTCCCCGTATTCACCCGCTCTACCAAAACAGCCCGCATAACAAAGAAAGCCTAAAAGTTGACCATCGAGACAAGTGTCCTCGGTACCCTAATCGGTGTCCGACCCAATATAACGAGCAACTGGTGATTCAGTCGGAGCAACTCAAAATGAACCCCCTAAGGGTCTTGATGGCCGAGCTGGTGGAGGTCATTCAAGATAATGATTACTTCAAGAAAGCTCAATCTATGAGAATCGGGGGCTCTGCCCAGAACCCAAATAAATTATGTGTCTACCATCGAGACCACGAACATGACACGGAGGAATGTCGACACTTTAGATGCCTCGTCAAGGATTTGATCAAGTTTGAAAGATTGAAAAATTTCTTGGCTGACGAGGCGGTCACACACAAACAAGGAAAGCCCCAACTGGCAGAGTGACGATGAACCAGTTTGTGCCGACACTATCTGCATCGAAATACTCGAGATACTAGGAGGGGTGGAGAGTCTTCCCGACTATCAAGCTTGAAAAGGGACCGGTCGAGAGATCCATGTTCCACTGCTCTCATCCCACAGAGAACCATGCGATCAGGAAGAGGCCAGGAAAGCCGTTGTTGATGCCCAATCACAAAAGTGGGCAGCGGTAGATAACAGTTGACGGGCGAAGGATGACCCTCTTCCCCGTATTCACCCGCTCTACCAAAACAGCCCGCATAACAAAGAAAGCCTAAAAGTTGACCATCGAGACAAGTGTCCTCGGTACCCTAATCGGTGTCCGACCCAATATAACGAGCAACTGGTGATTCAGTCGGAGCAACTCAAAATGAACCCCCTAAGGGTCTTGATGGCCGAGCTGGTGGAGGTCATTCAAGATAATGATTACTTCAAGAAAGCTCAATCTATGAGAATCGGGGGCTCTGCCCAGAACCCAAATAAATTATGTGTCTACCATCGAGACCACGAACATGACACGGAGGAATGTCGACACTTTAGATGCCTCGTCAAGGATTTGATCAAGTTTGAAAGATTGAAAAATTTCTTGGCTGACGAGGCGGTCACACACAAACAAGGAAAGCCCCAACTGGCAGAGTGACGATGAACCAGTTTGTGCCGACACTATCTGCATCGAAATACTCGAGATACTAGGAGGGGTGGAGAGTCTTCCCGACTATCAAGCTTGAAAAGGGACCGGTCGAGAGATCCATGTTCCACTGCTCTCATCCCACAGAGAACCATGCGATCAGGAAGAGGCCAGGAAAGCCGTTGTTGATGCCCAATCACAAAAGTGGGCAGCGGTAGATAACAGTTGACGGGCGAAGGATGACCCTCTTCCCCGTATTCACCCGCTCTACCAAAACAGCCCGCATAACAAAGAAAGCCTAAAAGTTGACCATCGAGACAAGTGTCCTCGGTACCCTAATCGG